TGTCGAAAGACTCACGTTGGCTTGCTGCCGCCTGGTTGTGTTTTCGCTTTCGTCGCACTGTCTGCCAGCCGTCGTCGTTCTTATCGTCGGTGATGGGGCGATGTTGTTCTTCGCGTGTTTGGTGCGAGCTGCTTTCAAGAGTAGGAAAGTCTTCTTCGTTCATGGCAGAGACTTCGTCACAAAGAGGTGTCGTTTCGGTCTGGCTTTCTCTGAAACCATTGTTTTCTTCGTCGTTGTTTAAGAGCAGTGATTGAAGTTTCTCCCGCTGCTCCATGCATTTCCTTAGGAATGCTTGGTTAGCCATGCAGGTGTTGACCCAATCCTTGTTGGTACTGCACGTCAGGAAGTATCCTGCGTCCATGACGATGTTCCGTTGTAAAACGGCGGTCGAGGACGCCTGGCTTCCAATGCTTCCTTGAATCGCTTGGGCAAGAGCAGCGGTAGGCTTAGCCGCTCCGCTTCCAGTATGCATCTTCTGACCCTTGAAAACGCCTCCAAGGGTCGCTTGGCGTGTCGGCTGGTTAGGTGACTCGTCCTTGTCGGTCGTCGGTATCCATGGCGGCTGCGATGAGGTGCCAGGAACCTTTCGTATCGGTGCAATGATCGAACCTTGGAAGGAAGCTCACGAGCAAACGTCTGGTCTCCTCGAGAGCTGAGGCCAGAGTCCGTCAATAGAAGAATGTGTGTTTTTTTTTTTCTTTTTCTTTTTTTAAGAAGACAGATGGGATGGCAGCTCAGAACCCCCTAATCTTTTTTTTCTTCTTTTTCTTGATACTGATTTTGGTCATAGGTAGTGCTGATAGTGCCGTTTTCATTCATGTCAGTAGAAGAATGTGTGGTTTTTTTTCTTTTTCTTTTTTTAAGAAGACAGATGGGATGGCAACTCAAAGCACCCCCTTTTTTTTCTTTTTTTCTTTTTTCTCTTGCTGCTGAACTCACGAGAGGGAGCTCGTGAGCTCCTGCTCGTGAGCTCACGAGCAGGGGCACGCCGGACGGCGGACGGACATACGGACATGGCTAGCCCCTAACACGTGGCCCCTAAGGAGCTTCGCCCCTAAAAAATCGGACGTGCTGGAGCACCCACGCCTGAGCTGGGAAGCCTGCTCTCGTAGTGGAGTAAACGAAGGAACTTTACTTCAGTAGGACCGTCCACGGGGAAGCCCAGAAGCTGATGCATGTCGAAAATGTTTCATCTTGACAGCGGCTTTCCGGGAGTGAGCGAACACTGCGTAGCAAGGCCTTTAAGCCAGTCGTTTGCTAAACCCAACTCATCGAAACCGCCATCGACTCCGCGGTAACTCTAAATAACTGTAAATCAGGGTTGGGCAGAAATACCCAAAAATGTATTTGGAAATACAAATACTGGGATACATTAAAATAGTAGCTAAAATACTGATACTGAAATATATCTGTAAAAGTGTATCGCGATACGTATCGGAAATACATTTTAGATAGAGGCAAAATGTATTTGGAAATACAAATACTGGAATACATTTTAGGGAGGGCAGAAATACAAATACAGAAATACTGATACTGCAATACATTTTCAAATTTGTTTGAGACACCAAATGAGATGAAGCTTGAAGTTGGAACTGAAAGTTGTTGATTTTGAAATTGCTTTCCCGTAGGCTTGGCACTTTGCCTTGAAGCTAGTGATTGCGGACGACGAGTAGTCTCCAGTGGGCTCAGAAAAACGTTCTATCAAAGACTGACCGCGGTCCCTCCCCTGGCATCCTGTCTGTCTGACGAGGGATGCGAAAAGACTTCGACCTCTATATAAATCTTATGTCATCCTAAATTCCATCAAAAGGCCACCATGCCCCTGTCCAATAAGGACGTCCCTGTCAACATTTATCACATGACGTCACGGTGGAATGAACTGGTATTCTTTGTCTGTAGGTGTGGCCTTGAACATGAAACTTTACCGCGCTGTTGTATGAAAGGACAATACGTGCTTTCGTTGTAGGTTACCTCGTTCAAGATCATGCAGGCAGTGTCATTTGGAATTTTCGAGAATAGTGAACCACATGAAGCATCCTGGAACACATGTCTTCTGTTACGGTTGATGAAACGATACGGTGGCATCCCTGTTGTGAAGGTCCTTCCACCGACGCATAGATTGCAATCCTCAAATTTCGTCTTGCATACTCCAGATAGAGACCTCGTGGACTGCGACCTGATATTGCCGGCAGAGGTACGAGCTGTCCGAGAAACAGCGCGCTCAAAACGAGTCGTAGGTGTACGAAGTCTGGGTCGGCAAAGCGAGGCTACGTCTGACCTCAGTCCTGGGTTTCGGATCACCAGAGCAGCGGGTCACTTTCACGTCGGCTGATGACGTACCATTGAGCCGTGCAATATTACGGGCGCAGCCGCAGACACATTCAAATATATGTTGAACTTCACTGCGCGAGTTACCGGTATCCTACTATTTCAAGCCAACCACCGCCAGGCTCGTGCTGCAACGGATTGTGAATCAGCTTTGCCGGCTGGGTGTACTCTGTACGCTAAGGCGAAAAAGACGGTTAGCAGCGGGCTTTGGATGCCAGCAAAAAATGACTCAAGAAACCACTACCTATGGACCTGCGGCACAAGATGCTCTGTCTCCACTCCTGGCACGCCACCTGGTTCGAGTCCCCGACTATGCAACAATTCTCAGAAGAGAGAAGAGGACGCATAGAAAAATAGTTTGGAGAATCGGAAGGAACCTTGGTCAGCGTGGTAGCAATGCCCCAGCATCTCCTTGACCCTGATGTCCTCAGAAGTAAAAAAAAAAAAAAAAAAAAAAACCTTTCGGGTTTTTTTTTTTTTTTTTTTTTTTGTGGGGGGGGGGGGGGGTATTTCTCATGAAATGTAACGAAATACATTTCACCCTGATTGTATCGCGATACAAAGAAACATTCAAAATGTATTTCGATACAGGAATACAGATACTGGTGAAAAAAAGGTATCGCGATACAGAAATACTGATACAAAATGTATTTCTGAAATACTATCGCGATACATTTGTATCGCGATACTGCCCAACCCTGCTGTAAATAAAATAATATATAAATCTTGTCTTATTGAGCTCCACTACATGTATTCGCCCAGCGGAGTCACTCTTGACCACAAAACATTTATCTGCAAGAACTGTAAGGGCTGTCCGCTTTAATGTTTGTACACAAGCTATTTGACAGGCTTCCCGAATCGCAGCTAAAAGCCCCGTCACACTGAGGCAACAGTTGGACAACTCTGTCCGGCAACACCTAAAATCGTGTTGCCGGCAACCCTGACACATCGCGACAACGACAACAATTGGGCCACATGTTGCTGCCGCCCGGCAACAGTGTTGTCCGATTTGTTGTCCGTCTACCCTGTCACTACACTCTCACACCGCGCTGACGGCGGGACAACACGGGGAACACTCCGCCATCTTGATTGTTTACCTTCTTTCGTGTGCGGCGCGGCGTCGCTGGAAATGTGACTCTACAAAGTGCTAGTGCGTTCGAAGGGCTGGAAATTATCACGGGACGACATCAACCAGTGACTGTGATTAGAAAAATTGACACGGGAAGTATTTTTCACCCTTTATTTTATGAAAATGTTCTTCATTCGCTGACAAAGCAGATAGCCCTAACCGTGCAAAGTGAGATCGCTGATATATGTTCAGGTTTTTACGCCACCCGCGGTATGAAGCATATATTTCTTTCCGGGTCTTTCTTTCAGGCAATTCCTACCTTTACTGTAAAATTGCGATTTTAAAGGAACGCGTTGCGTCAGCTTGAAAGTAACGCGCACTCTTCTCGTTAGCCTGGATGGGTCATTTTTATGAAGCAGAAGGAAGATCGGTGGCCGAGTGGGCTAGCGTACACCAGATCAAAGCTCGTGGAGCGAAAGCTCGCGCTGCAGAATCCAGGGATGCTGGGTTTAATCCCCACCCCTGCCCGTTTCGATCTGGATATGAGCATTGTACCGGCGTGCGGTCGTGTATCGCTACTCCGTAGTGCACGTTAAAGACCCCAGGCTAGCGGTTGTACTGCACTGGCTGAACTGCTCATCTACGGCAGAGGGACAAGTCACCAGTTGAAACAGACTAACTTCAGGCTGTATAAACATACACGCACCCCCTATATGGAGCGGTGTAGCCGCTTTCAGCATTTTTCGTTGTAATTTCTTGATTTTTAATCCGCTTATTCAGGAATAACTGCAGCTATACTCGGATACCTTGTGCGCATTTTTTTATTGTATGTCTAATTTTCTCCGCCTACAAGTTACAGGCGCTATCTGCAAGGAAAGTTATGGGTTGGGTGCTTTCGTTGTTCACGTTCATCTCCAGAAGTAACTAAAGGCCGTTACACGTTACTTCATCAAAAGCTAACGTTACGCGTTCCTACTCTCAATAAGTAACAATAGGGCGTTCCTTCTTTACCAAACAAAGTAAATGGGTACAAGTAATGCGTTTTATATAAGTCTGAACAGAAGCGCCGAAGGATAGGGACAAAGTGAAGGAGGTAACGACAACACGGAGCGGCTCCGTGTTGTCGTTACCTCCTTCACTTTGTCCCTGTCCTTCGGCGCTTCTATCCAGTCATGAACCAACTAGATCAACTCAACCTTTTGCTGTATATAGGCCTGGTTATAAGTAGAAACTAAAAATTTCACTAGTACACTTAAGACTGATTACGTGTAGGAAGGCGAAAGCCAGTCAACGACGACGTCTAGGACGACCTCTAGGAGGACTTCTAGGACGACGTCTATGACGACTTCTAGGACGACGTCGAGAACGACGCCTAGAGGACGACGTCGAGAACGACGCCTAGAGAACTACGTCTAGGAATTCATTTTGATTCCTCTTAGTTGGCTTTGTCATCCTTCTTAATTTCATTGCCTCTAATTCGGCTGGGTGGTCACGTAAACATTTCGGTACCTCTCATGTCGCCGACGTGTTTTCGCTCAAGGACTTTGATGGTCGGCTGAACAATGACACATATAAGGCTTGTTCGTATGGTGGACACACTTACGTGTTGCTCTCTGCCATCGTCTTGAATGACGACAAAATCTTCGGCTAGGACGGTGCTTTTCTCCAAAGTCAGTACAAGCCCGTCTTCGATACGCAGAATTGTTTCTCTATTGAGGCCCCTCGCGCCGAGAAGCATGGGATATACGACACGCTCCAGATGGGATGCTTTGAACTTGTCTAGAACAACACCTGGAGTAAACGTTATCAAAGATGCAGAACAAATTTTGTTGAGCGCATGAATTGTATTTATACTTATATTTATAGAAACATGGGCAAACGGTAGCTGTCTTCTCTGATTTCATTCGCGGCAGTTTTCCATTCAGATATAACAGAAGTATTTAAGAATTTGAAGCATTCCCACCCGCCGTTTATCATTGGCGTGATAAACCTAAGCGCCACTCTGACATGAGATGCTATGCTCAAGCGATATTAATGCGCAAAAGCAGAAGAAACAAACAAATTGTGTTGTTTTTCCGTGATTGTTTTTTTTTTTTTGGTTATTGTCATTTTGACTGATGTGAAGAATCCTCCCTCCTAGAGGCACTAAAGGAGCTACGTTTCAAAGTAATGCCATTTCGGCCATCATATGGTGCTTAAACTAATCGTTGCTGCAAGCTATTGCATGCTTTATCTGAAATCCACGAAGACGCTTTTTAAAGCGATTAGCTTTCTTAGGATCTTCGGGCGACTTTAAGGTATTTCTGGCCGTCTATTTTTTCTGCTAAATTTAGCGGGGAAAATGACGTAACGTGACTTGATGTCCCGTGACCTCAGCACCAATCGAGTCTCCCCGCTACATTTAGCGAAAAAATTTGACGTCACATGACCATGTCACGTGACTTATACTCAAATTCAGTTTCTCCGCTAAATTTAGCGGAAAAAAGGACTTCCCACGATGTCACGTGACTTCCACACAAATTCAGTTTCCCCGCTTGATTCAGCGAAAAAATTGCCGTCGCATGATATCAGCACCAATTGCGTTTCCCCCTAAATTTAGCGGGAAAAATGACGTCACACAATTGAATATTACGTGACCGCAACATCAATTCAGTTTTCCAGCTAAATTTAGCTGAGAAAATGGCGTCACATAGCTTGATGTCACGTGACCCACGCAAATTTAATCTACCCGCTAAATTTAGTCGTTAAATCGACACGTGACCTGACGTGGCTCTTTCAGTTATATCTGCAGCTAATCGCTTAATTAGCAACACAGTTGGCTCTGGCCGAATCTTCGTCCTCCAGAAATGTTAAAGCAGTCCTCGAAAGAGCGACGCTATATCGCCTGAGCTTCTTGACGCCGTCTCTAAGCTCGGGAAGGCGCATTTTCGGATCGTGACTATCATCTATTGCGTCCTCGTCGCAGTCTCGCATCTAGCACCAAAAACGCGTCACCCACAGGGTAATCGGCATGAGGAGCTGATACCCAATGCTTAAAGTGTTTCTTGACTGCACTCCCGTCATATGTCTGACGGTCCGAACCAAGCCTTAGGGTCGCACTTCGAAAGATCTCAGAAGATCGAAATTAATCCTTCCGTTGGGGCGTGCCACATACCCTTCGTTAGTTTGCCCATTTGATTTTGAGATGACATAAAAAACAACAACCACTTACCACCAAATGAAGTTTCTAGTATAATAGCAAGCAGGAATGCTCTGTAATAATGCATGTCGTTTTTCGCTGATTTAGCACGCTAGATTCATGCTAGATATTCTGGTTTCCGCATACCCGTGCCGTCTGCTTTTCTTTCGAATGGTTCAGTCTGCCGTCAGTCTTTATTTTTAACTCCCGGATCGGGCGTTGATGTTTCTCGAGAAAGGTCAACACATCCAATCAAAACGATGGCGCGATGTTGACAGGATCTGTCAACATCGCGTCAACGTTTTTCTTTTATGTGTTGACCTTTCTCGAGAAACATCAAGAAACAATAGAGAAGAGCAAGCGTATTCCTCTACGGCCATACAGACTCCGTACAAAAGTGCATCAGCTGTTGGAAGCTTTGGAAGCCCTGCACAATGGTGGACACAAGAAGAACCAGAAAACCTTCAGCTCTGACAATGGTAACATTTCCTGTTTATTGTCATATTTTGTATAAAATCTGGAAACAAATAAAGAAATCAGAACTCAGCGAAATCTTTGTTATACAGCCCCAATCAATAATGCTCGGATCGCACAACGCGGAAACGCCATGAGAGTACGACGTTAACAGCGGGGATAAAATGCAGAAGTTCAAGATCACGACATTACCTGGATCAAGAGATAACCATAAAACACGAGATTTCTCTATGAACCGGCGTCTATTTAGATCTAATATTCGTAAAGCCAAGGAACGGCACTGTGGGCGCCAGTGACAATTCTTTTATGAAAAAATGCAAGACGATGTTATTTTTGTTGTTGCTGACAAGACTTTTTTGTCACTCAAAATAATCCTGCTGACGCCCACGCTATTATTGCCGTCTTATTTTTAGTCTATATCAGGGGTGGCCAAGCTGCGGCTCGCGAGCCGCATGAGGCTCTTCGCGTGTTAAAGTGCGGCTCGCAACTCCATTCCCTACCCCCCCCCCCCCCCTCGCAGCTCCCCCACTCCCCCGCCTCTCTCCCGGTCACACGCGCACTTTCCCAGAAAGAGAGATGGAGGATTGCGGTTTGGTAGTCTTGTGCTACTGCTACCTTACGTACACGTGGACTACTTTTGATTCACATAGTTTGAGAGTAGTTCGAGTCTAGTTTGTTGCTCTGAACAAAATCCTCCCCCCCCCCCCCCCCCCCTTCCGCGGCTCTTGAAAGTTTCGTGGTTTTGTTTGCGGCTCTTAGGCTGAGTCAGCCTGGCCACCCCTGGTCTATATTAATGTCATGGCTTCGAATCTGCCTTCTGTGCATGTTAAACTTTCCGCGAATGACTGTATGCTTTACTATTTATCTGTCGAGCGAGTTCAAAACAAATTTATTTCTATCTTTAAAATAACGTTACCTTGAGAAAGGTGATCCTTGTTTGAACGTTGGGTGTAACTCGCAACTCGTCAACTTGTTGAGCCTGCAGCAGCGTCGGGTGAAGGCAGATCTGTTGTTTTTGTTTAAGACCCTGCACGGCTTGATTAACTCTCCCAGCCATCTGTCCGAAGTGAGCCTTAGAGTGTCACGTGTGCCTACACGGCTCCAATCATCTTTGTATATAGCACGACATTTTTGCCACTTAAACCCGATCCAATGATCGGCTGAGTGTTATAATCGCTACTCTGACTCAATTGATAGTTTTAACTCATGCGGGAGCAAGTTCGGAAATGCTGTTCGAATCTTCCTCTTGCAGGGAAAGGGCTGATCAGTTGAAGCGTTGATGTAGTATTTGCTTTGTGCTCTCACACCTGGTGATGTCTCTGTGTTGTGCTTTTGATTTCCCTTGTTGATCTTAATGTCTTCCATACTTGTTAATATTTTTATTCTCAGACTGGTGAACTACGTTCTCCTTCTGCACTCGTGTGTATGTGTGTTTTGCTCATTTTTCAGTGTGCCAGCACTAAGATTCATTGGTTGTTCCTGGACGCTTTAATAAACATTGATTATTATTATTATTATTATATTGCATTCGGCATTCGGCATATAAAATAAAACATAATTTTGATGTTCGTGATAAAAAATATTGGATCAAAACAATGCCAGTGTTTTCTCTCATATACAAAACCACTTCAGCTGCACCTTAAAGAAGAGCATTCTTTCTTTATTTCTTTTGTATTTTTATAACCATTTCCGATTACATTGCCTTTCCTTGTATTAATGATTTCCTCCTTTTTCGTTCTATTTCCTGCAGAAGCGGTCAGATACATATCCCGGATACTGCTTTGATGGACTCGGGCTACTGTACGGCCTCCATGGGACAAAGCTAAAAACTGACAGCTTAGAAGATTGCTTCGGAATGTATAGGCAACTGGCTTGCTTCTAATATCACGTTTCTGCAAGGCACATTTACGAAGGTGAAAAAAAAATACTGCTGAGGAGCACGCTGTCAACGATCACTACAGCTAGCAAGGATGGAGACTAGGAAGATCTCCACAAGTGAGCGGATACTTGACGCCCTACCCGCAACGTGGTATACCTGCAATGTGGCCCTGGTCTGTAAGAAATAAGCCACAGCCTACCGACCCTGGGCTATGTGGCCAGCCGTGCAGTCTACACTCCATCGAAAAACCTCAGGGGCGAAAAATGCAAGGCCTCATCGACAGCATGAAACAAGTTGGCTACAGTTTTCTCGCGCAGGAAGACTATATGTTCTCGCAATGCAACTCGTTATAGAAGGGCTTGTTTTTCCTGGTGTAAATGCTGTAGAACACAACTACGTTCTTTACCATTTGGTGATGCCCAGCCCGTGCCGACTTGTTACATATCTCATAATGGAACTATTCGCCGAAAAGGAGACTTCCGACTGCGACGCCTGTGAATGATAAAAGTGAGCTCATTTTGAAACACGTGTTGTTGTCACAAGAAAACGCACAAGTGTTTTCTTGTGACATTTTTTCAGCAAGATGAGTGTTGGCATTAATGCCAAGAATGCCAAACAAAAGAAACGGAAAGCTGAAACTCTGCAATCAAAAACACTCGCTGCCAGCCGTCACGGATGTCAAGAAGTGAACTCGGAACAAGGAAGAGTATGTCTGACGCCTGTGATGATGAACCCATTGTGAGTTCAAGCTGAAGCATGTGTTGGATGCAGTGAAAACATTCAACTGAGAAACCTCTGTTGCAGGATGACAACAATATTTTGAGTGCCAGTGCAAAATCTGAAAAAAAGAGAAAAAGCTAAGTGATCAAGGCTAAATAAATTAGCTCTTGTCCGGCCAGCAACGTGCTTGCACTTCGTCCTCATGCAAAGGCAACTGCTCTCTGAAGTCGGTGAAGCTGTGTGTGTGTGTGTTTGTGAGAAGAGAGTCAGTGTCCTTGTAGCAGTCTCTAGGGTATCCTTGTGGTGCTACAGCACCACAAGGATACCCTAGAGACATGCATGCTGCACAGATATTGTGTGTCTTCGGTTTCACAAAATCTACAGCATCTAAGATGCATGTGTATACATTTTTTTCAAGGCGGATATTTGCAGAACCTATGGATTCCAGGAGGTTCGTTTCGCAGTGTTCAAATGTGACCAATTTCCTAAATCCGATTCTCTCCTATATTGTAAATGCAAGCAACTTTGAATATGAAGCTCCCGTGCCCACTTCTGTTTTTGTACAAAACTTGTTTTTAGCCGCCCTAACATACCTGTGTCGCTTCGCAGACTCGGTATACTGTCGAAGTACATCAGCGCATGGGGCAACGCTCAGGTATTAGGGTAATTTTTTTGCAAAGATAAAGTTTTCATATGACATTGCCAAGAAACAGGTCACAGGTGTTTTTTCAATGTTGTAACCACATAGGTTGCTGCAAAAAAAGTACTATATTTGAACAGGCATAGTGCATTGGATTGCTGAACCAATGCAGATATATTAGAGGCCCAAGGAAAGTTTGTCAAAATATGTGGAACTAGATTTTTCGGACTATGATATCTCAGAATCCAAGAAACCAGCAGATCACAATTTTAAAATCGTATTACTTTTATACTTGTCTGGAAATTTGGGTCCCATTACTAGTTGCATCAGATGTTCCTAAGAGTAGTGTACTCGGGCCTCTATTGTTTCTATTACATATCAATGACCTACCATCATCAAATAAATCGACAACTAAACTTTTCGCTGATGCTTGAGTTATTTACCGGAAAATTCACAATATTGTCTAAGACGATTTAGATATGATATCATCATGGTGTTCTCTATGGCAGATGAAGATTAACACTCGGAAATGCAAACAAATGTCCGTAACTACATCCTCCACTAAAACACTAATCCAGTATTCATTACTTTCACAACTACTAGAACATTCACTGTCATACAAGTATTTGGGCATGTATTTTACAGATTCATTATCACGGATCGAGCAAATAACAAATAGTGCACGAAAAACACTGGGTTTCATTGGATGGACATTATATCTAGCTTCATAGAAACAAAACTACTCGCGTACAAAACATTTATCCTCCCAAAATTAGAATATGCAAGCATAATTTGGAATCCACACCTAAGTTACCTAATGTAGAGGCTCGAATCTTCAAAATGAAGCATCCAGATTTACATGCTGTGATTATTCATCCGAAACAAGTGTCTGCGCTTTAAAAGCTATATAGCATAAATCTTTATCATCTAGAAAGAAGACGAAAAATAGCCCGATTGTGCTTCTTTCAAGATGTATATTAGTCAGATTCCGATTTTCAATCTATTTACTGCCGGGCTGCCAATATTATATAATCCATATTAGATAATTCCTGCAAGATTGAACCATTTCAGTGCCATACTAACACTTTCTTCTTTTCTCCCTTAGTATTTTGCACCACTGGCTGGAACAAACTACCCGACCATATTGTAACTGAGCGATATCTCATTTCATTTAAAAATAAGTGCATCAATTTGTGTAACTGTGAACCTTAATTTGGAAAACTGCATCATAACAATAACATGCTAATAAGCGTTTTGTGTCTGTGTGTGTGTGCGTCCCCGCGCGCGCGCGCGCGCTCGTGTGTGCATGTGTGTGTGTGTGCGTGCGCCCGTGCGTGTGTGGGGGGATTTGTACTTGTTGGTGTTTGTTTTTTTT